ATATCGGTGTAGTATGGATGTGCCCGTATGAATATGGATCTTCTTTCCATCTACACACCCACAACTACACCTACACAAGAAAGTGTCAAATGTGCATTGAAAACAAGTAGCTATGGCTTTTCAGAAAAAAAAAGAGAAAAAACAAGAATTCTGGTCGAATCGAAATTTCTTGTACTACCATTAGATGATTTATCTAAGTTTAGTAGTAAAAGTAATTGGAGCTGATTAAATGATAATATATAATTACAATGGTGATACTTTGTTGTGCATGCAAACTAGCAATTACAGCGAGCAAAATACCAAAAATAACAAGTTCAACAAAAATACTCGTCGCCAATGTCATCTTCATGTAGTTTTTTTGAATGATTCTGTTCGACTTTCACTGAAAGTAGACAAATTAATATGAGAGTATTCATTTCTTTCTCTTTTACCTATACTCAGATAGCTCCTACTGTTTGCTAGTGTTAGAAACTAAATGAGGTTATTTCAGTAAACATCACCGATATTTCGGTTGTTGAGTTTACCATTCGTGGATACTACAATCTGGATTAAATTGAGGCACATTATTTGATACGAACACAATATCATTTATTGTTGTCATTACCTTCTAATGACTTAAATAGTCGATAATTTGCAAAACTAAATATTAATTTTCTTAATTTAGACTTTTTCTGACATGTGTTTGATCGCGACACAGTGAGCATTTTTACTTGTTGTATATTTTGTCTATCTCAGAGGATATACGACTTTTTTATAGCTCCTACTCTTTGTTTTTGTTATCGTAAAAATTTTTCATAGTTCGTAAAAAAATATTACTAAATGTGAAAAAATATAGTGAATGAATCAAAATGATTGCAACATCGATATCTGAGCACGAACAAAATCTATAAAGTTGAATCATTTATTAAATAGAAATGACGTCAAATTATCTAAGCGACTACCAATAAAAAATCCCATTGAATAGTTTTAATGATAGTCTTAAAAGCCTAGAATGGAAACACTGTGACTGTTATATGTTCTAGTATGCTGAGCAAAATAAAAATGAAACTAATATTGTTTATTTTGGATACACATCACCACTAAAAAGCTCATAAAGCTGTAGATTATTTTTTTGCATGATATATGTAATTAAATTTTCTGCCTGTCTTGCATGAAAAGAGTCTCTAAATCGTACTGATGAGTTTTCTGAAATAACAAAGAGTAAAGGTCTTTGTGTTGTCGTTTTGATCAATTATGAAAACGAGAAAAAAGCTCCAGAAATCTCAAATTGGTCACTGAATGCGACTTTTCGTACTACAATTCATCGATAAATGCAGTAATTTCATTAACGTGCCCTTGTTGATGCTCACATAGCAGTCTTAAGAAGACGAAGTGGAAAAACTAAAAATCTAATTAAATTAGTCAATAAACGGCTTAGTTCCCAACGAGCAAGAAAATTTTCGTAAACAATAACCAAGGTTTTTCAGAGCAATCGGCTAAAGATCTTGAGAATACTTAACCGTTTATTTGCCTATCCATCACTGGAGTGATTATTTGTAGGACGACTGCATAAAATAGAGCAAGCATAAAATTTGAAAACGGTAAACATTCTATTGTAACGAACTTCTCCGGTTATCGATTTGTTGCAAGAATATTTTTTTATCGCTTCATCTTTGAAAAATCAGGTTTACAAAATCAATAATTTTCAAGAAGCATAAAAAAATACGAATTTTTCGAAACAAAATATTCTCTATCTACAGTTGACAGAGATAGTTCGAAATATCTGTTTGAGATAAGTCGATGAAGAAGTTCATCAGTGAATTGAATATGTTTCGAAAGCTTCACAATAATTCAGCGGGTTACCACACTAAGGCATACTATTGGCTATGGACCCATTGTTGGACAGCTGAATGGTAATCAAGAACGAAATTGATACATGCGTTATAAAGCTCAACTCATGAGAAGTTGAAATATTAAGACTCAGTATGTTTTTAATCCGTTTCTCCATTACATTGTCACTAAAGCAATCAAACGGTTCTACATAAAGAAATGAACACTTGGTCGGTTAGACCGCATCATTGACATATGAGACAGACTATTGCTCTATTTATAAAGTTCTTTTATTAGTAGCTCTGCTAAAATCATTGTAAGAGATAAGAAGTTAAGCAAGACTAAAAACCGGAATTTTATCGAAAAGCTAATGCTCACAAAATCACAAGATCATAATAAATCACGGTATTTTCATTTTTACGCCTCTTTAGCATAAAGAAACATTCGACCATGATATAGTCGTTCAATTTTAGCCCGATAAAAAAAGAAAATGGTTAAAACAATTTAATGAGCTTATTGTTTATCATTCTTGTCAAGAATTTGACGACGTATCTTTCAAAAGTAATAATTCAACATTATAGAATTTGTCCGTGTTGAGATATCAATATTGCAATCATTTTGATTCATTTGACAGTAAGTATGATAGTGAGTTTTCATCACAGAAACCGTCGATATATCGTATTGGACATCATTTTCCCAATGACTTTGTTTTATATATAACTACCTAATAAAGTTAGTTTTTGAGGTACGATTTATGCCAAAATTATAGGCAGTGTCTATGCTATATCCATAGAAAATTTTGCCCCTAAATGTTGAGTTATAGTGCACCTAAGCATATCATAATGAGCAGTAGTTATTTTTTTTTGTTGGACGAATTTCTGTTTCAGATGATCTTTCAAACTGAGTTTTTGCTTTTCACAAATGTTTGAAAAAGGCTCAATCCATATGAATAGAAAGAGCAAGACACGAACTACATTTTAATGACTAAAACTGTTTAAAAATAAAATGTTTATGAACTGAAATTCTTATTTTATGATAGACAAAGAATAAAGAAAATAACTCAATTTGCAAAAAACCGTCCGAAAAAAAACCTGCTCAGCAGACAATGACTACTATTTATTATTATATGTTCAATTTCATTATGATTCAACATCTATGGGTGAACTTTTGTGTGTATATAGTATAGACACTACTTATAATTGTGGTCAAACCCGAACCTTAAAAGCTAGTTTTATAAGATAGTCTTTTATACAAAACAAAACCATTTGAAAAATAATACCCAGTATGTAGAATGGAATCACTAAGAAGATGGTTTTAGTCTATTTTTTTCTTAGCTGTGTATTGATCATATATTTTGATGGATCCTATCGTCAGTACTGGAAGTAGAAAATTATTAATTTATAACATTAGTTATTGGTTTTTTTATTCAAGTTGAATATAACTGACAATTATGAACATTACTAATGAAACAGATAACCAAGAGGGCAAAAAAAAGATTCTATATCTTTATCATCTTTTAGCTTAGTAAGTTAACTTTTATTATGCTGAAAGAAGAGAATTAAAAGGTTTTATTTATAAAGAAGCCATTCGTCAACATTATTCAATATTAATATTTTTTTCGTTTTGAAGTTAAAAAGAAGTTTGAATTACATTTTTCACATAGTCGCTTAAATTTTTTTTCTTTACTTTGATTCTTGAACCATTCTGATCTTTCATCGGTGCCTTATAAACATGTGCATGACTATGTATTTATTAAAAGAATTGTACTAATGACAAGTTCATTGGGTATAGGAACCATAACATAATTCTACCTTGTCTCAATTCATCAAATATCAAATTTTTCTATCTGCTAATCACAAATTATTTTGATGACATGTATCGCTAGTTCTCTATTTATAAAAAATTGAAAAAAAACAGTACTTATAAAATAAGAATAAGAAATCTTAATGGATGGATATGTAGAAAAATGAAGTAAATTTTAAAAAAAAATGTTCGATATTATATTGTAAATCTACACAGAAAACTCCTTTCTCCTTCCAAAATCAAAATTGAAAAATCTCATCAGTATCTAAGAACATCTTTTATCTGAATATAAAGTTTTGAAACCATCTTCTATTACCCGACAAGAAAAATATTTCATTCATCAATATTACCTGTGATAATCTTGTTTACTAATGATATATAAACGTTGAAGTTGGTTTTAAAATGTAGCGATGTTAAATCGTTATGTACTAATCAAAAATAAATAAATTTCAACTGTATAAAGGTTTTCTGTCGGAAGTTAACTAAGGTTTGTGGTATAGATATTCCTGTGATCTACATCTAATCATGCATTGAAAGTGAAGAGTTATTGGCAAAGATAAGGTTTATTTTCTTACAAGAACTCCCAACACTTTTATTGTGAATAATTCAACTTGTTCTCATCTAGATATATCTACCATTGAACAGACCGATCACATCGACAAAGAGGCCATACCTCGATCAAAAGTTTTTATTTTGACAGGTTTGTGACAGATACTTGGTTTTTTTCGATGAGATCGGTCTGTTCAGTTGTAGGTACATGTGGATGACACCAAGCTGAATTACTCATAATAAAAAAAGATAAACTTCATCTTTGTCAGTGATTCCTTAGGTTTGATCTATACCAACACGCATCCTTGTTTAATCCACTGTTCACCTGCTACGAAATATTTAACTTCAATCATTGTATAACAACTTTACGTTTCTACATTTTAAAATTGACTAGTTGAATTTAAAATTGAAAAGTCAATCCCAGCATAGACTCTATTCAATTTTCTGTAAAGCAGTTTTCTAATCAAATGCAATCGTTAGATAATATTTTGGATACTGCAAAGAATTTAGTATTGATCACTTATCACTTAAATCTTGTGATAGCAACAACATAGGAGAAGTATGCATCTATGTTAACATATCGATTCTTTCTGTTTAATCGGCTAATTTAATGTTAGATAAACTGAAAAATTATCTCGTAAATAATCATCAATAAGCGACCTCTTTTTCTTTTTCTTTTTTTAATTTTCTTTTTATTCCATTCAATAAAGGTTGGTTTCGAAGCAACGCATTTTTTTCTGAATGACTTGATTATATGTGTATGTTTCTATCAAAAAACTTTCATTGATAAAACAAGAAACTCTTACGTGTTGTAAAGCAAATTCGTTTCGATCCAAAACATGGGTATTGAAGCAAAAGATTTCAGTCTTGATTTAGACTTATTGGCTTACAGTGGTATTGTCTTTAGTCCAGAACAACGTGCTGCATTACAAACATCACTTGTTATTCTTAAAGAACAATATAAATTTAAAACTATTCATTTATGGGGTAAAATATTGGGTATAACAGAAGATTATTTTATTGTACAAGGTCGTCAAAAAGATGAACTTAAAGATCGACAATTTCTTTACAGGTAATTTATTTAGTTTTATTTTATTTTTGATTAAAATATTTATATAAATTGAAATATTTATTAATTATAGTTTGGATTGTATCAATTGGAATATGTTAACACCAGCAAGTGATGATGCAAAAGAATTAGCATCACAATGTCAAGGACGTTTTACAGGTGATCCATCACATGAATTTGAAGTAACAAAATATCATATAACAAATGAAGATACAGAAGAAGAAAATATTGAAGAATATAAAGTAATAAACGTAAAAAGGCAATTAGAAATATTTGTCTATAAAAATCGTTTTGTTCTTTTATTTTAGTCTCAATTACGTGAAGAAGAACGATTAGCTGCAACATTATGGAAAATTGAACAAGATGCCTTAATTATTCCACGTGGTTCATATATTCTTCAACCAAATGGTAATGTAGAACGAAATCGTACATTTGAAGGTAATAAAATAAAATGCTTTTTTTCTGTTTATATAATTAATTAATTTTATAGGATTAACAATAACAGAAAGTGGCAAATTATCGAATTATTTTCATTTTCGTCCACCGATTCGTCTTGAACAAAAAAGTCTTGTACATCGAGCAACTCTCGATAAAAGTCTTCATTTTCTTGATACCATTGATGAAGATATACCAAAAGGTATTATATCACCGAGGAAAAACTCTAGATAATACAATGAATAGGAGTATTTGAAGGTCTTCAGTAGTGGGAGCATGTAGTGTGGGAATTGATGAGCAAAAACCGATAAAGAAAATCATTAATCTCCGTTCGGGACATGCCTAATAATAAAATTTGCATTTTGGAAGAAACAAGACAATTCAGATTTGAAGGAAGAAAAGAAATATCTTGCCTTTCGACTGTCGTACAGTATGGGGTACTGCTTAACGACAGATTTATTAACCCAATATCTTCTCGGCAACTATGACTAGCTGTAATTTTGAACGGAGGGTTGATCTGATGCAGAAGTTTTGCATTCTCCGTACACATCAACTAATCATATGCTAACCACGAGAGCACCTGCATGTCACTCCTTAGTCAGCATGCTATCGAGCGGGTACATTGAATAAGTGCCGAACAGTGTAGCTAATCAGCATGATAACCACTTCGATTAGAAATGTTAATCATAAAAACTTGTTTTATAGTTTTTCATGATGCTGACTCGATGTTTCATATATTTTAGGTTGGAGTGTACAATACGAACGTGGCAGTGGATTAGTACAAATTCGTAGCCTCAAATGGCTTGGTATGGCGTTTTTCCATATACCAGAAACCAATCGTTTTGGTTCACTCTATTGTGGCATTGGTGAAGAAAACAAAGATTTACCATTTATGATTTAAACTATTCACTTTTTCTTTTTTTTTTCAATAACTAGTTTAATCACATAAAGAAATAAATCTGTTTTTATCTAATTAAAAAAATCTATCAAAATCGATTTAATTGTTTGAAAAACTACAAGAATGTGAATCCTATAAATTTCAACTTTTGTATGACAATCAACAATCGATTACAATTCTTTCGTTTTTTTTTCTCTCTATATGTTATAATCATACAAACAAAAAGAAATATATGTGCTGAGAATTGAAACGAAACACCTTTATTCATTCTCTCTTTCTCTTTTTTGTTCTTTTTTTCTTTTTGAAAACGTAGTTGACGATGAAAATAAATGATGTTGTCGCGATGGATGAGGAAATAAACAAATTCGTTTGTCTCATTCTCTCCTTTTTTTCTTTCACTTACTTATTACGTTTGTTCTTCAACATCGAGTCTCGCTCTATTAGACCACATTTTCTCTAATAGACAAATTCCTTCTCTTGCAACTCTTTTTCGAAAAGAATTGTTTTATTTGTTTTGCCACCATCCATGCTCCTGACTTATTGATGCTGCTATTCACTGCAATTACTATTGATAAAGACGAAAATCGCATTCACCTTTGTTTTGCATAAAAAAACTATTGACTGTTTAAATTGATGGCTCTTACAACACATTCTACTAAACCAATCACACATAATCTTCATAGATATAAGGTATATCAATATGATAAAATAATTTTTTGCATATTGTTATTTTTTCCTTGAGTTCTGGAAACATAGAAACAAATTTCAAGTTTTTTCTTTATACTCTTTTTTTTTCTCTTTGTTCAATTATGATTCAAGAATCTTATACAAACACATTCATATGCATTCAAGAAGTAATATTTTCAAACTGAACTCATTATTTTGTTCAACTAATAGAAGTCACTAAAAGAGAACTGCTTCTTTTTTTTTTTTTCTTCTTCTTCTTTATTTTTTGATTCATTTCTATTTTACATTTGCCTATTGGCGTCCTTTTTTAAACATATCTTCTCTGAATCATATGTTGAATTAATTTGTTCAAGTATGTACCTATAAAAAGCATGTATAAACTGAAAGAGAAAAAACGAGAAATACAAAAGATATGTATATGTTCAAAGTATGACTACGAAATAGTTATATTAGTATGACAATCGATTGAACATTCTCTTTATTTGTTTATTTAAGGAAAAAGAAAATCAACGACCTGAAGGAACATTGAATACACCTTATATATCAAAAAGTACAGCTCCTAGTGGTTCATTACCAAAACGATATCGAAGTGTTTTTACTGAAGGTACACCATTAACATCATTTGGTGTACGAAATGATGATAATCAACCACGGTCACATTCTGTACGAAAATTAATCTTTTCTATTGAATAAATTGAAAGGTTTGTTTGTTGTTCTTTTCAGCCACCTAATCATATTCCACCACAACTTCATCATCGACCACTTAAACCTGTCAAAGAGTTTCTTACTACACATCCGCCAGTTGATCAACAAATGTCAGTAAAACTTTTTAGAGAGAAAAATATAGGTCGCTTTCTTTTTTTTTTTCTCATATTGACTTTATCATTTTAGAGATGCTCGTCGGCATTCAAATTCTCAAGTAAATTATTGAAAATAAACATTTTGTTCTTAATCACTATTAAATATTTTTTTTTCATATAGACAAATACTTATACTCGATCTCAAACAGAAGCAACCATAAACAATGTAAACGTTGCTTTGACGAAATCATTAAATAGATTACGTGCAGAACCATTTAATACAGCTATAAGAAATGGTCATTCCACACCATTGTATGCTGAATCAATATCTTCACAACCGATGACCGCACGTATAGTATCTCATAAAAGTACTGGTACAGTAACAGCATCAAATTTTCATTATCAACCAACCGGTGGTATCAGAGGTTCTCTTCCAACTGAACTTATGACAAGACGACCAATAAGTTCATTCACATCAAATAAATCATCGAACGGAAGTTCTCAGAGTCGAGTATCCTCTAGAACTGGCCCACTTATTGTACAACAGCCTACAACATTCATACATAATGAAATAAAGCCAACTAATAATCGAAACATAGATGTATCTACACCATCACGTATACCGGCTAAAAGTCTCGATACTGATTTACATCAACCAGATGAATTAAATTTTAATAGTGAAACAAATGATGAACATCCTGAAAAATTCAGAGTAAACGAAAAAAAAAAAAGCAATTTTACTTTTTATTTTTTTAAATTATTTTTGTGTCTCATAATTAGAAATCTAAAAAGGAATCCAACCAACAACCAATAATAAGAGCTACAGTTCGTACTGAATCACCAACATTACGTATGAGAAGTGCTGATAATCAACATCGTTCATTACCTGAAGTTAGTGTAAATCCACATATTCAAAGTTCTGTACCAAAAAATAACGAACAAATATCACAAACACATGAACCAATTCGAAATGGTATATCAAATAATTAAATCCATTCAAAAATGTATGAAAATTATTTCTAATTTAAATATAGGTGAAAAAAGTACAAATCACCATCATATTCAAGTTGAACCAACTGGTACATTTAAACGAATATCATCACCAAATCAACATCAACAAATTATTAACGTTCAACCAAATATTACTGTTCTGCATCGACGATCAGCATTACAAACTGATTCAGCAACAAATATTCGTCAAACATCGAAAGATGATCGATTTAATGAAGCTTATATAGAACGAGATAATATTGGTGCACAAGTATTGACTATTGAAAATACAAATACGAACATGAATGATGATAGTAGATCGACACTTAAACAATATACGAATGAAAAAGAAAGACATAATAATTCAATCACACCACCATCATCACCCACAACTCAAGAATTAAACAATATATGGAGAAAACAAAGAAATAAATATTCTACTACATCTACGAGAGCAGCTTCAGGTGTTCGTCAGAACATAAAACTTCATCGACCATCATGCCGATTAAAAAATTATGGAGAGGAATCTGATTCAGAAACCACTGCAACTGGAATTCACAGTAAAGATGACGGTACGTAAAAAAAAAAACAAACGTCAAGTCATTAAAAGAACTCATTTGAATTCAAAGAAACCTGTCAAATTAAACCTCTCGGCTGTATTCCATAGTTTTTATTGTAGGAAGAATATACACTATGGGAGAGATTGACAGTAGGAGAGTGAAAAAAAGAAGTATATAATTAATTTTAAAAAAAATCGAACTTACATTTGAAAACTATTCTTTTTGTTTCGACAATGTGACATCTCATATTTCTTATTCAATGTATTAAATGAAAAGAAAGTTACAAGGTGTCTTTCTTACCTCTATTTATCCTTCATATAGACGAAATCAATTTAATATAAACCGAAAAAAAAAAGAAGTAATCAAATTGTTCAAAATTTCATAGGTATGACACATCAGCATGGTGTTCCACCAAGTGATCTTGGTAGTGATGCATGGTCGGATTTAACAAGTGAATTTAGTGATACTAAATTACGTAAACATCCAGATATTCGAACATCAACACCAAATATAACTCGACATAGTTCAAGTATAAGTTCAAAAGAAGTTGGTCAAATACGAAAACAATTAACTGGTTTGTATTAAACTTAAATAATCAAAGTTTCATTTTTGAGTTCTTTTCTTTTGAAAATTATCTTTAGATCTTCAAATAATGTATAATGATCTTCTTAAATTACTTGATATTGATATTGAATCGGTAAGAAGTAGTCTTAAATCCAGTACTTCTTCTCAAGTTGATCATCATGGTCGAAGACATCGTTTTCGAAAAGTAATGCCTGTTACATCAATGCGTCAATCAACTCTAGATATGATGTAATCAAACAAAAAAAAAACATCAATGTTTTTAAAAAAAATAAATAAGTAAAATTTTTGTTTTTCTTTTCTATAGGGAAATTAATCAACGTTTTACACGACTTGAATCATCATTAGTAACATTAGCTGAATCAATTGCTAAATTATCAGCACAAATTCAAATGCAACGTGTTATTAAAGATGATGTTAATCAATTACGTCAAGAAGTAGCTGAACTCCGTCAACAATTAAATCAATGTATTCGACAACAATCTGCAACACATATTAGTACAAATGGTATAACATTGTCAACGCCTCATCAACCATCACGTTTAATCAATGCAAATGTTCAACGTGCAGCTACTGCTAATAGTACAACTCCGTTAAATATTTCTACATCTTATATGCCATCAACATCGACAATACATCGCTCAAGTTCAATTATTGATCCACGACAAGCACGAAAAATTGAACAGTAAGTAAAATTCTCAGTTTAAATAAATATATATGTCTTTTTTGTTTTATTCTGTTTATCTCAATAGATTCTTTGGTACAGAAGCAATGCTTCGTTATTTTCTTAGTTTATTAAATTATGAACAATATGCTCCTATGCTTGAACAAGAAAAAATTGGTATTTATGAGTTACCATATATAAGCGAAAGAAAATTACAAAGTCTTGGTATACCATATGGACCTTGTACTCGTATGATTCAAGAAGCACAACAATATTTTATTTCGTTATTAACATTAAGATCGAGTGGAATTGATGTATAAAAAGAATAAATAATAGTCATATGTATTTCGAAAATAAGTTTGTGTTTTGTTTTTGTCCTTTTTGTGTTTCCTTTTTATATTTGTTCAAGTAAATAATAAATTTTTTCAATCCATTTTTCGATAAAATCTTTTTCAACTTTATTTTTGTTGTATGTAATAGTAACACACAGATGATCCTTTATTGTACTAATACCAACCAATATGGAACTTGTCCAACGTTGTTCAATAAGTGATACACCAAAATAATGTTCTTCAATTTGATTATGATTTGTATTTGATAATAAACCAAGATTACTAAATGCAAAATGAACATCATCACATGAAAAATATTCATTATTATTAATCATTTTTAATAAATCTGTATCATTTTTACAATTCATTATATATTCTTTTTCCTTTATTCGATGATGAAGATCATGATGTTGTTTAATTGCATTTGACCATATAGATGATATAGATTGTTGATTAATATTAACAAAACAATCAAATACAGTAGCAAACATACCAGTTTGTTCATAATCAAGTTTAAGTTGTGGTCTTATATTAACCATCATATGAATTTTTAAAATTTTTTCTTCATTATAATCACATGCTAAATAATAAGCATTAGCTGTAATCAATGTTAGAATACTATTTAAACGTATTCCATATACACGACATTGATCTTTCAATTGCATTAGTATTTGTTTAGAAAAATAAAAATGACGAACACTTGTTCGTGATGTGATTGGATTTGGTCGAATAGGCCTTGGTTTTAAGTCAAGATCGGATATTTTTTCATATGAATATTTATTAAATAAATATTTTTCCATTGGTTCAAGAAATATATTATTTTTTAAATTATTTGGTGATGATGAACATAATAAAAGATATTGTCGACCAACATAAAATAAATTTTTTGCATCAACAGTTACATGATGAAATGACATGATAAGAATATGACCATTGATTATTATCCAACGTGATAAGTTTTCGCTATCAAATGGAATGTTAAGTTCATTTTCGAATACTTCATGCCAATCGATATCCTATTACAAGATTTTAAAAAATCAGATCTTTCTTGAAATCAATTTGTTTTAAGAGCAGTGATTTTGCTCATTTTAGAAGCTTATCTATTGATATGAAAATAAGGTTTAGTATTCTATTGTGAAGCATTTTTTTAATGTTCGTTTTAATATAAAGTGTCCGGCAATTTGAAATCTGAGTAACACTGTTTTTAGCACTTTTTCTCGTAGTTGGATAGAGCTTGTCGAGTTACCTGAGAAAATGTTGTTTTTCACATATTCACACGATGCTTTTGTAGCAGGGGCGGCGCGACCGGGGGGGGGGGGATAGGGGGGGCACCCCCCCCCTGCTCCTGAAAATTTTGGCTGGTACTTTCTCCGATTTTGGGGAATTTACTACGATAATTTCTCCGATTTTGGAGAATTTACAAAGCAATTTTCTCCGATTTTGGAGAAATATACTTGATAGTTTTCTCTCAATTCGGAGAAAATTCAAGTTTAATGGCCATTTTTAGGCAATTTTCTCCGATTTTCGAGAAATATATTACACAAATTTCTCCAAAAATCGGAGAAAATTCAAGTTTGGAGATCATTTTTAGGCAATTTTCTCCGATTTTCGAGAAATATATTACACAAATTTCTCCAACATCGGAGAAAAATTTTTAATAGTTTCCTCCAAACTTGGATTTTCTCCGATTTTGAAGAACCGTGTATAATATATTTCTCCAAAATCGGAGAAAATCGCCCAAAAATGTTCTCCAAACTTGAATTTTCTGCGGATTTATACAATAGTGTTGAATATATTTCTATGAATCCGAAAAAATCCAATTTTGGACAAAAATGAGTAGATGATTTTCTCCGATTTTGGAGAAGTATATTATAAAATTCTGACTCGGAGAAAACTTCAGTTTAGAGAACACTTTTTGACTTTCTCCGATTTTAGGACTGCCCCCCCCCCCCTGCTCCGACCTCTTCGCGCCGCCCCTGTTTTGTAGTGAAAATTAACGTTCAAAAAAAGTCAGAAAAGCCTATACAAATTCAAATACGCCAAAAGCATGAAGTCTCGGTAGTTTAGATGTTTATTCAAAGCTTCTCTTCATTTTACTCGTCATATAGCTATAAGAAAAAACTATGCATGCATTGTGAATAATACTATTTTATTGTTGAGAAAGTCGATTTTTTTTTATATGACAGTAAAACAACATAAATATGAGTTTCTATTGTAAGATTTTCATTATCAAAAGTTGAGTTCTAGACGAAACAAATATCATATACAAAATCTGCATAAAAGTCTATATAAAATAGTATTCGTCATACTTGAAATTAATTTTGATCAAAGGAACGATATTTTTAAGCAATAAAATCGGCTTTCTCTTGAAAAATAATTTCTTATTTTCCGAATAGTCAATGAAGATGTCAAGAGTCAATTGTTGTTCTTATAAGACCGTTCGACTTCATATCGACTGTGTGT